TGGCGAGCGTGGCAGTGGCAGAGTGGGTGGGGCGGAATGCGGATGCGGCGGGATGGCAGGTGATGTTGGGTGGTGGAGGCGGGTAGTAGCGATGGTGGTGGTGGTGGTGGTAGGAGAGTCAGGGTGACGTGTGGGCGGGTGTAGGTTGGTAGCAATTGAGTGTGATGTGGTGGCGGCGGATAACGTAAGCGGACGTGGTGGTGGTGAGGTGGGTGGGCATGGGTGACGTGGTGCAGGTGGTTAGCAAGTGGGTGGTGGTGTATGGTGTGGTGTAGTCACGGGGTGGTGCAGGGGTGGCCGGGTGGTTGGTAAGTGGTAGGTGGTGGCAGGTGGGTGGTGAGTGGGCGTGCTGGGGGAACGTGTGCTGCGGGGGCAGGTAAGTGGAAGATGGTAGTGGCGGGGTGGTGTGTGGTAGCGGATGGATGGCAGGTAGGTGGTGGTAGTGGTGGCTAGGGTAGATGGTGGTGGCGAGTGTGGTGGTGACTTGTGTGGCTGGTGGTGACTGGTGTGTGAGTGGTAGTGGCAGGTGGTGGTAGGTGGTAGGTGGGTGGTGAGTGGTGTGGCAGGTGTGGTAGCAGGGGGTGGTAGGTCGGTGCGCGGCCGGTGGCGGCGGAAGACGGTGGTGGAAAATGGTGGCGGATAGTAGCTAGTGTTGGGTGGTAAAAAAAAAAAAAATTGAAACTCAAAATGAAAACACATTTTGTGTTTTCATTTTTTGCTAAATTTATAAACTGAGACCCATTGATTTATAAATCAAAAATTTTACCAAACAAGTTTTTATTTAAGTTTTTAAAATTTTTGTAAAATATAAAACGGAAACTGAAGACGTAAGTGTTTACCAAACAAACACCTTAGCAATACAGTACAATAACTAATAAGTCTCACTTCTGTATTTTTAGTACCAAATAAATTAATCATACTTGCATAATCTAATTTTTTTGTAAAATCATTTTCAATGAAGAGACAAAGCTATTATTTTAAATGGGCCTTCCAATTTTTTAATGGACATTAATTTATTTAAGTAATTTGGGCCTTCCTTAATTTTTTTTTGGACTAAAATTTATTAATATATTGACTAAACTATTAATAAGAGAGACCTCTTTTTGGGTCTATTTCAAATGGGATAACCAATACTAATTTTTTTTTTAATGGTCTTTCAATTTTTAATGGGTTAATTTATTTTAAGTTAGTTTGGGCATTTTTTAATTTTTTTAGATTTAAAACATACCTTAATATATTACACTAAATTATAATAAGAGGGCCCCTTGTTAAAGTCTATTTTGAAGGCTCCTAGGCCTTGGCCTTGGTGGACCATGCCCCAGGGCCGGCCCTGATTCTTCATTTCTAAATGCCCGACAAAAAGTTGAGTTACCTCGAAATTACGAGTTTGTTTTCTTTTGCAAAGTGGCTTGCAAATAATCTATAAAGCATACTCACAATATTTTAAGTAAGTACTTCCTTTGCTTTGACAATATTAGTCAGCCACGTCAGTTCTGAAGCCACTGATCCGGGAGTCGAAGCATTGTTTTTTAACTTGGGTATTCCTTCTAAAAAATGAGGGAAAACTTGTCTGAAATTGTTCTTATGCTGGATATACTTTGGAGCTATACTTTTATTAATCCCTTACATAAAGTAGTTAATGGAAGCACAAAATATGAGTTGACTATTGATGGGATGCAGGATTTTCTCTCATATTTCTCGATTCCAAGTGTCAGTTTTGAACAAACGGTTGATCTAGTATGGGCGACCCGACCAATGTAAGGAGCCTACTTCCAAATTGTTTTTTTCCCTTTTTAGTGTTTCCAGAGTCGGCTAATCTTTCTAAGGATATTTCTTCATTTGAACTGCATTGGAGATGCTATGCAGGGGCTTAACCTTGCTGCTCGGTATTTTTCTATCAATCATATATTTCAAATGCAGGTCTTTGATGAAAGCTAGTCAGCAGCACTGAATTTGGTTATGCTTCTTTTCCCCAAATGTCCATTTCTTCTTTGTTCACATTCGCAGGATTTCGACAATGACAAAATTAGCATTTTTGTCAGTGTTCACTTGTGGTTTATAATATTTTGTTGACTTTCATACAGTGGCAATCCTAACATTCTTGTTTTAGCTGCTTACTGCCTCTAACTTTACTCTGATACTCAATAGTTGGCACATGGAATGTCTGTTCAAAAGCAAACCTAAGGATTGTAGACTAATGCCCTTCCTTCTCCCCTCCTGTATAATCTAGAAAATAAACAATAGTAATTGAAGGAGAGTATTTACAAATGTATACTTATGCGTTATTTGTATAAAATAATTTGTTATAATCATGGTAGAGAAGCAAAAAATACTTCACCCTATTAATCCTTTTTTATTATGTGTGCATAGCATTTTGTAGGGCCATACTTCGGTTGTAGCATAGAGAATCGTATAGAGAGAGTTAGCAAGCTAATAAGCCGAGCAGGGTTAAAGTTGTGTTGTTGTATTGTGTTATGGTGTGTGTCTAGATGTAGCAATGTTGGTGACGGATATTGGTTTATTGTTCAAAGGATTTACATGTCTTTGTGGTATGGTATCCGTGTATTTCTACTAGCTTCTTGCCTTGGAATATTGACCTGTCTGTATATGGTGGGGACGCTACATCTCTTGGAAGTTATGCTTGCGCTTGATAGTGTCATAGTGTTTTGCTGAGTGGAAAACTGTGTATGGTCATGGTATGGGGTTGGACGGTGGAACGACTGATTGGGGCTATCCTAGATTCATTGTATTTCTCCTCTTCTCATTCATCCCTGTTTCTCTATCGATGATATTTGAAACGAAGTGATTTAGTCAGAAGTATCAACCAAAGATTGATATTGTTATTATTTCTGGTATTTTGGCTTTTATCATGTGCGCGATTATTTGCGGAGGGTATGTTAAGTTTTATGGATTTGTGTTTAGTGGTAGTGTTGGATTGGGGTGTTTTGTCTTCTGTAGTGAAGAGAAAATATTATGGGTTTACTAATGCATGGCAATGTTCTAGTTTTGGATTCATTTGCAGAGTTGAGATACGTTTAAGTGGAAGAGAATTTTATTGCAGGTAAAAATGCAATGATGCCCTGCTTTCATTTTCCTGAAAAAAAGGTGAAGTTCACTTAGGTCAATATTTCGACTTATCTCTCCATGTATCAAGTATTTTCAATGGTTTTTCCCTTTGGTTTTTTTTTTTTTTTTTTTTTTTTTTTTTTTTTTTTTTTGTACTTTTTGATTATTTTAGTTTGGGACTAATTTTTTTTTTGAAAGAAAAAATAAAATAATTATGGTTTAGATATAATATTTTGTTTTATTGACTTGTTTAGCTTATTTTGAGACAATGGGGTAATTTGGGAAACTGGTTAAAAGTTGTTTTTTAAATTTTTTTGGTTTTTTTTTTTTGTTGTCTTTTTTGTATGTAAAAAATATATGAAATGATGTGACTCAAAATAGGTTAAAAGTTAAAAATTATTTGGCAAACCAGTTAAAAGCTAGCTTTTAGCTTTTAACTCATTTTGAGCCACGTCACTTCTCATATTTTTTACATATAAAATGATAAAAAAATAAAAAAGTCAACTTTTAACTAGCTTTCTAAATTATCTATTTATCTGTGTTTTTTAACCAAAAATACCCCCTGCGCCCGGCCGCCCGCGGGGGTATTTTAGAGAGTTTCAATAGTCTCAACCACTGTTAGGCATCGTTTGAAAAGATGATTTAAAATGTGGGTTGGTTTTTTAATTTTTTTAACTTTTTTGATATGGGTTAAAAAGTTTTGTTTTGGATTAGTTTTTTAGTTTTTTAAATTTTTGTAAGAAAAGAAATAAAATGATTATAGATTGGATGTGACATTTGATCTTATTTGGTCAAAATGGTCAATTTTGTCTTATATGGCTATTTTAGCCTAAAGTAGTATTCCAAACATAGCTTAAGAAATTAAATAGATTAAAATAGTTAATAAAATAAAATATCACGTTTAACTTATAATTGTTTTTTTTTTTTTTCTTACAACTATCAAATTAACTAGAAAAAGGTCAACCAACTTTCCAAATACAACTATTTTAGCCAGAAAATAGCAAAAAACTAAATAACCAACTTCTCAAATAACTCCTTAGTTACTTTGACTAGGAATTATTTCGAGATAATCTAAGGGTTAGTTTGGCATGTTTGAAAAAAGTCAAAAAGTCACTATGCTATTTAAATCATATCATCTTATTTAAGTTACGTCACATCTCTAACACATCACTTCAAATCCAACCCAAACCCAACTCATATTTCATAAAAAGTCAAAAAGTGCACTTATGTACATCATCCCAAACAACTCCTAAACAAGTGTGCTTATTTAATAACTGTAATTATTTAGAGTATACCACATTTTTATTTTTTTAAAAACATTTTATAAATTTTTTTAAAAAAACGCTATAAATTAGCAAATTCCAAACAACCGCTCAACACTACCCTACCTAGGCAATCAAAATTTTTAATAACAATAGTGATTGAGACCACTAATTAGAGCTATCACTAATGATGTGGCAGTGAGTCTCACTACCACAGTGTGTGCCGTGTCTTTTTTTTTTTGGTCATTTTCTAGCTCACTAGTGTTGGATTTAGAACTCTAAATTATTATTGTTTTAATAATAATAATGTTTGAGACCACTAATTAGAGTTATCACTAATAATGTGACAATAAATCCCATCACCACAATGTGTGCTGTGTCGTTTTTTTTTTTTTTTTTTCCATTTCTCACCTCACTAGTGATGGATTTAAAGCTCATTATTTAGATTAAAAAAAAGAACTCTAAATTATTAGCTGAAATAAAGTGAATGTCCAGATAGTATTGTTATTCAAGATTTAAAATTAATGATATAGCAATTAATCATTAGAGAAAAAGAAAAAAAAAATTGTAGTACTAATTAATTATGTTAACTAATAATAATGTTGGAGATTATGTAAGTCCTTCCAAACACGCCCTTAGCGGAGGGAAGAGAGAGAAGAAAGCTGTTTGTGTTGTGCGTATGCATCAGAAACGAGGGTTGAGATGAGAGGGGAAAAGAGGGGTTTTTTTGGGCATCAGAAACGAGGGGGGAGTTTTCTGAGAGGGAGAGGAGGGAGAGAATAACTATGATGATTCTGTTGATCCTTTCCTTCTAAATATGCCCCAAGAGAATGAACCATCCCATCTGATTATTACTACTCTCTCTTTCTCTCTCTTCTGGAAACCCACCCTCCCTCTTAATTAATTTCACCCTCCACACTTCTCTCTCTCTCATTTACTGTACTAACAGCCTCGTCACATCTTAAATAGATCCCAACTGCCCCCTCTTCAATCTCGCAAATCTCTCTCTCTCTCTCTCTCTCTCTCTGTGTTTGTGTGATGAGAGTGTGGGTGAGTTTCTTGTGTCTTGTGCCTGTCAATGGTGAACATACAAGGAGAGTTGATCATTTTCTCTTTCATGTTGGTTTAACAAAGTGTTTCTTACAGAGTTTATTGGCATTCTGTCCACCTCCCTCATCCTCTCAGAAAAAAAAACCCCTCTCTCTCTAAAATGGAATGGAGGTGGGCATACTGCCAACTGAGCTCTGTTGGTTTCTCTTTGTAAAACCCTCTTGATAGATATAAGATATATATCTCCTACAAACAAACACCCTCTCCATGTTTTCACTCTCTTGTTCTTATTAGGACACCCAAGGTAATTAAAGAACCCTCTGTGCTGTACTTCTCTTCATGATTAGCTTTATACATCTCTCTTCCCTTCTTTTCTTTTCCTTTTTTTGGGGTTATTTTCTTTACGATTATGATGCGTGATCATGATGATTATGCTGTTTCCTGGCCCCTTTCTGCCACTTTTGTTATTTTCTGGGTATCTACTTGAGCTCGCCTCTCTCCTCCCCCCCCCCACTTTTTCTGAATTTTCCCTTCTTGAAAGAAAATCTTTACTTGTACTTTTTCTTCTTTGTTTTGCAGGGTTTATCGTGTGTTAATGCAATCTATACCTGGAGGAGTGTGATGACCAACATCAGACAAAGATCTTATGTTTCTTTTTGTTTTATAAAATCTATTTATGCTGAGCAATTCATGAACCCTAACAAAAAACAAATATGGAACCCTAGTTTCTCTTCTCCTTTTTTTTTTTTTTCTTTTTTCTTGCTTTTTTTCTCTTTATCCAATCAACTCCATTATAAGGTTTCTGCTTAGTGTTCCAACATCTCTCTCTCTCTACTTTTTATCATCAGAAGGACAAAAAGGACTTTCTTTGTGAAATCAGAACTTGGGTTTAAACTTAATGAATTATCTGAATCTGTTTTTGTGTTTAGTGAAGGCCATGTTGATTGAATCTAAAATTTTAATTTTTGTCTGATTTGTGTATTAGTCTTAGTGCTTGTTGATGATTATTTAGATTACAGTCAGAGTAGGAAGACTGGATTGCAGTTTCATGGCCTCATGCATGTTCAAACCAAAGCTATGTCAGTTCGAATTTGTTCCTTTTTTTGACCATGTAGTAGTAGTTTATTTCCAGGGCGTCATTAATTAATGCACCAGGAAAATATCTTGACTTCCATTCAAAAAGCAAAGATCTAGAAAATTATTTACAAGTTACATGTGAACTTTTTGTATTTAAAAATGTGAGACACCAAGTAATTTATTAAAAAATTTATAGAAGACTCTCACATGCTTGTGGGATTTATTGATAATTTTTTTGATAAATTGTTTGGTAACTCCAGCATTGCTCTCCTGTATTATTATATATTCTATTGGCTTTGTCAAGTGAATTATCATTTGTTCAAGTTACTTTACGGGTTGGTTTACGGGTTGGTTGGTTTGGAAGGGGTTGGTTTTTTGATTTTTTTAACTATTTTAATTTGAGTTAAAAAACTTAGACTTTGATTTTTTAGTTTTGGATTTTTTGTTTTGGGAGAGAAAAGTGTAATCATTATGGGTTGGATGTGATATTTTGTTTATTGTTGTTAAAATAATCTATTTTATCTTTTGTGATTAAAATAATTAAAAAAATTTACAAAATTACTTCCCAAACGGTCCCGTAGAAAGTAAAAAATTTATATGATTTAAATAAGTTAATAATTTAATAAATTAACTTATTAGCGTTCTTCACAATATAGCAGTTATTAAGAGAGTAATTAAGTTATAATCCAGGTCAATGTTTATCTTTTTTACTGTAATTTCTCAAACCTCAGGGAGTATCTGTAATTTAACCAAACCTCGAGGGGTGTATATGTAATTTGCCCTATTATATATTCTATTGGCTTTGTCAAGTGAATTATCATTTGTTCAAGTTACTTTACGGGTTGGTTTACGGTTTGGTTTTTTGATTTTTTTAACTATTTTAATTTGAGCTAAAAAATTTAGACTTTGATTTTTTAGTTTTTGGATTTTTTTTTGGGAGAGAAGAGTAATGATTATGGGTTGAATGTGATATTTTGTTTATTGTTGTTAAAATAATCTATATCTTTTGTGATTAAAATAGTCAAAAAAATTCACAAAATTACTTCCCAAACGGTCCCGTAGAAAGTAAAAAATTTATATGATTTAAATAAGTTAATAATTTAATAAATTAACTTATTAGCGTTCTTCACAATATAGCAGTTATTAAGAGAGTAATTAAGTTATAATCCAGGTCAATGTTTATCTTTTTTACTTTGCTTTGGCAAGTTAGTAAAAAGTTTAAAATTTAGTATTTTGTAGTCAAAAAAAGTTAGTTTTTTTAACCAATTGGCTCCCCAAAAAATTAGGGCTTGTTTGGTTTGTTTTTAGGAGAGTTGTTTTTGAAAAAAATTTTGAGGAGAGAGTTTAAAATTTTTTTTTGATTTGTTTGGTTTATATTTTGGGAAAATTGTCTTTTTGGGAGTTTGAGATGATTTGATATTTTGGGAGAATTTGAGTAGGTGTGTATGAGAGAAAAAGTGATTGAAAAGGAGAGAGAAGAAAGAAAAAGTGATTGATTGATGTGTAAGAGAGAGAAAGTGATTTTGAAATTTTTTTTTGAGAAAAACTCAAATCAAACAATTTTTTAGAATTTTTTTTCTAAAATTCATCTCCCAAATGCAAACCAAACATACCCTTAATTTTTTTAACTAAAAAAGTCAAAAGTTAATTTTTTATCAACTTCTCAAAACATCTCTATGTACTTTTCTCCAAGATTATTTCTAGATTTATTCTTTTAAGGGCAAATTACATATATTTCTTTTGAAGTTTGATTAAATTACAGATATCTCTTAAGGTTTCGGAAATTATATCTAGTCTCTTAAGGTTTGTATTTTCATAAAAATTTGTCTTATGAGGTTTAAATTTCATAATAAATTACTCTAATTTGTTATGTAAATATAACATTCAGGGAGAAATTTGTAATTTTTCAAATTTTAAGGAGTATTTATAATTTAGTCAAATCTCGAGGAGGTATATGTAATTTGTCATTTTTTTAATTACTTAGGCATCGTTCATCAATTATATATTTTAGTGAAAAATTATTCTAAGTTATATATTGTAGTGAAAAATTATTATAAATTGTTATATTATTAGTTTTATTTTTTTAATTTTTTATAAACAATTAAAGAGTTATTAAAATAATCTGTCTTAAATGAGGTTTTAGCAAAGTTAGATCAGAATGTTTTACTAGTAAAATTTTTTACTACAGTATTTTAAGTTTTTGCTAGCTAATTGGTTTTGGTGATAATGAAGGACGAAGGGTTATTTTGAAAAGTGGTTTATAATTTACTATTTTGATTTATTATGATAAAATGTATAAAAATTAAAAATGTGATATTATTTAAATAAATAAATTAATTTATAAGTATGTTTCCTATATGGCCGCTAATTTTAAGATGCTTCTCGAATATTTATTTTGGCCAACATATAGGGGTGTTATCTCCTTCGTTTGAAAGGATTAGTTGAATAGTTTTGGTAGATGTTTAAAATTTATTTTCGTGATAATTTTTTTTTGGTTATTTTAATTATAAAAAAATAAAATAAATTTAAAAGTTAATAAGATAAAATATTACATCAAAATTATAATTTTTTTTATTTATAAAAGTTAAAAAATTAAAAAATTTTATCTTAAATGAGACTTCAATTTCAAATTAAAATAATCAAAAAATTCATTTATAATTTAGTACTCATATTCATTTATTTATTTTAATTTTATTCTATCAGTAATGTTATGAATTTAGACGAAAATTTAGAAATTATTTAAAATTTTATATTAATGTTTCAAATTTATTCTATATGTACGTTTTATATTTCATCAATTATTCTCTACCATCTAAACCCAATTTTGAGTATTCGGAGTTTCAAATTTTGAAATCCTAATTTTTTTGTTTGGTCTATACAGTTCAGCACTATTTGGTATATAAATTAAATAAGTAAACTTATTTAAATAAGTGTATTTATTTGGATTATTATTTTATTATTTTCCTATGTATATATATATTTTTAAAAAGTTAACAAATACATTTATTTAAATCATCTCAAACAAGTTTGAAGTTTTATTTCTATTCAAAGGGAAAATAGTTTAAAATAAAATTTAACATAGCTTACTGTTTTTGAATTGTCTTTAAATAAAATCTTTCTTATGTTGGCTTATTTTATTAAATGGGTTAAAAATTAGTTTTTTACCTTTTAGATTTTTTTTGGATCATATCACTTTTTTATTTTATTTTTGTATGTTTTTTAAAAAAAGTTAAAATAATGAATTTTTTTTTTCAATTTTACTTTAAAATAAGCAATTGCATTTTTTTTTCCGGGAAAAATATATATATACATAAATTGAAAAGTTAGGAAAAGTAATTGCAAACTCACGAAATTACAAGTTATTTATGCACTACATTGTGCAAAAGAAAAATTGCAAATAAGTGGGAAGACTAAAAACATTACAAATTCATTTTGAAAAGTAAGTTAAAAGTCACTTTTCACCTTTTAACTCACTTTCTTCTTTCACAAAAAAATAGAAAAGTCAAAAAACAGCTTTGATTCATCTTTTCAAAACACTCTAAAATCATGTAAAAGTTTGTTACTTTTACAGTCGGTAAATTTTATTACTGATTTATAATTTATTCTGAAACTCATTGCATTACTATTTTTTCTTGTGAATTTCTAAGTATTTATTTTTACTTTCTATTTTTTATATTTTCCTTTTATTTGCTCTTACTTTATCTATAGATATATTTGTTATTAGTAAACACGAATCATATTTTGAGAATAATTTTTTTAATCTTACAAAAAGAAAAAAATTGAACATCTCCAACAGGGCATGCTATATATCTCTAGTTATGCATTTTTGTTATATATATATATATATATATTGTGTTTTACTAATAAAATATTATGTAATTTTTTAGTAGAATTACTATAATTTGAATTTATAAATAAAATTATGTATTTTTATTGTAGTATTATATTTTTCATGAAAAAAAATTTTGAATTACAAAATATGTAACATTGATATGAAAATAGATAATACCATTACAAAAGTGAAAATATTTAGGACTCACAAACAGCCTTTCATAGGTTGATTCACAATGATGTGATATAATAATGTGGTGTGATATATGTTAATACAATATCAAGGACCTTAAAAAAAAACCCCCATAAAATTATGTATTTTTATTGTAGTATTATATTTTTCATGAAAAAAATTTTGAATTACAAAATATGTAACATTGATATGAAAATAGATAATACCATTACAAAAGTGAAAATATTTAGGACTCACAAACAGCCTTTCATAGGTTGATTCACAATGATGTGATATAATAATGTGGTGTGATATATGTTAATACAACAATGCTAGATGGTCATAATTTTTGTGACCACAATGGCTCAAAACTGTTAAAACAACGTCGTTTTGACATGTTTTGCACCCAAAACGACGTCGTTTTAATAGTTTTGAGCCATCGTGGCCACAAAAATTGTGGCCCTCAAACATTTTCCATGTTAATATTTAGGACTCACAAACAGCCTTTCAGCTAATGTTTGGAATGTTGATTTTTTTCTAAAATAGTTAATAAAGCTTTTAAAAAAAGAAATTAAAATAATCAATAAGATAAAATGACATATTCTATATATTAATAGATCACTATTCTCTCACAATTTATATATTCAACTATAAAAAATAAAAATAAAATTTACAAATTATTTTAAACACAATTTTTTTCATTGATTGAAATAGTTAAAATGTTAGAAAGTTAACTAAAATAGTCCTCATCCAAAAGAGTGGCTAATAGGCAAGGAGAGGGGCAAGGATCCTCTAGAGTTTTTTTTTTCTTAAAATTTTCTAGAGTGGTGCATTATGTGGTTGAGATTTAGTG